TATATATATATATATATATATATATATATATATATATATATATATATATATATATATATATATAATATAATATATAATTAAATAGATCTAAATGGTGCCTGAAAACAGAAAATGCACAGAACAGTTACTACCATCAGTTTTATGTAAAGGTTCTTGCCATGTCACTAAACTATATTAATGGGACCGGACACTGTTATCGCTCTTTGTCATATTCATAGACTCAAAGTGAAGTGATTTGTGGGATGGCTCACACTCTGTTAAGTATGTGCATAAATGTGTGTCTGTCCACATCAAGGCAAGTGTAGTAAGTCAAGCATGTACTGTGAATACAGCTGCCACCCCTTTAATTTATTTCACCTGATTTCCCTCTCTTCCTCCAACCCACCCTTTGTACAGTATGTCTCTCCAGCAGATGATAAACCGTGGCAGATGTTTATTTGAGTCTTGTTTGAGCCTTGTGTTGCCCCATTATCTCTGCATAAGCTAAATGCTAAATTATATTTGCCATTTTGTTTATGTTGACATCGGACATCAATCAAGCCCCCAGAGCGCGTCTCTCCCTCTCTTTCAAGCCTCTCTTTAGCGCATGGGTTAGAGCAAGCAGATGACATTAAAAAAAAAATCATTATTCTTAGCAGTGTAACAGGCACAAGAGAGATATGACTACCGAGGATGGAGAGGGGGGAGGTGGGGGAGACAGAGTATGTAATGATGAAGAATACAAAACGTAATATGGACCAAGTAGCCGCCCCATTTAATTTATCTAGCCATAGAGCTACATTGATTTTGCATGTTGTGACAGAGCAAGAAAGGCAGAGAGAGAGAAAAGAGTGGAGACAGATGAGACAAAATGTATTAAAAAGCAAACATAGGCTGTAATTTTAAAAGGGAACACAGTGTGCTTTAATTGCTGAATTGAATACAAGACATTTAAAAAAGAAGATGAGAAGTAAAGAACATGACAAAGAGAGTTGAAAAACAATTACTCTGCAGAAATGTAAGGCTGAGACCTGGGAGAACTGCTAAGGGAATCCCCCTTATAGAGAACTTATTCATGACTGCTGACCTGACAAAGCCCCTCACTGCGAAGACACACACACACACACACACATAGACTTTGCTTTTATGTAAAACCAATTTTAGTTACTATAGAATATATAGAAAATCTAAATTGTGAAATTTCTGTCAACACAAAAAAACACATAAAAGGGTAAAGTGACTTGCAATTTTGACTTTGATGTGTAATTGCAATTTTATCTCACATTGTGACTAAATACACAACATAATCAAACGTTAGGGGTTTGTAGGATTTTTTAAATGTTTTTGAATGAAGTCTCTTATGATCTTTCTCTAATGATATGGTCTCTTTGAAAGAAGTCTAATGAATTTTCAACAGCCATTACTCCAGTCTTCAGTGTTACATAATCCTTCAGAAATCATTCTAATATGCTGACTTGGTGGTCAAGTCTTCTAATAATTCTTAGTCTTATTATTATCAATGCTGAAGACAGTTGTGCTGCTTAATATTTTTATGGAAAAATTATGGGAATATTTTTTTAGCATTCTTTGATGAATAGAAAGTTCAAAAGAGCATAATTTTTTTTAAATATAATTTTTTTTGTAACATTATAAATGTATTTACTGTGAAAATTGACCAATTAAATTCAACCCTACTAAATTAAAGCATTAATGTCTTTAAGAAAAACTCGTACTGACCCCAAACCTTTCAATGGTAGTTTATATCTCGATATCAATACGTTTAGTAAGAAACAGGGTTTCATAGTATTCTCTATAACATATTTTGTATCCTTATCCAGTAATCACGTGATTGAAAATTATTTGATTAAAAAACTGCTTGTATAGCTTTTTTGTCTTTGTTTTAGGAATACATAATTGACCAGCACAATCAGCCAATCAGAAATCTAGAAGTCTGCTAATGAAATGAGTTTAAAGCCAGACTACCTGTGTACGCAACTGTTATACGACCATTTTTGCAATTCTGTTTGGCATCACTAGTGGCATAGAATCACTTACAACTGGTACTGTATCAAACTTTTCTTATCTTGAAGCGCGTAACATCTTCATACGAGTTTCCATAGAGGTTTACATCAGTAACAAAGGATTTCCTCGCTTGGGTTTGAGGTGTGGCATTGTTGTGCTACATGTGACAGCTTGCAGAACAGCTGTGTGAGAGAGAAGTTTGTAACATCTACTCCGACAGGGAATGATGAGCAGTTTTAGAGGAATCAAGCACTAACAGGCTGCCATGTCTGTCTCTGCATCTGACACACTCATTAGTATGTCTCTTGACAGTGTGTTCACCCAGACTTTGATCTCTGACACAGAACTAGAGATCACCATGGAGATGTATGGATCATGCCCCACGGAAACAGAACTAATACACTGTGTACAACAATACCATTAGACTACACACAGACACCCCTTCCTATGATATATCTGCCTAGACAAGAACTGATAATATTATGCACATTAGAAAATACTGGTATCAAGTCATAATTTATATCAAAATCAAAAACATTGTAAAAGATATAGTAACAAACCCCTATTTAAAAACTTTTAGAATCCTTTATTTTGTGCAAAACACAGTGATCAAAATGAGAGAACAGTAACCACTGTAGCACGAAAGAAGATTACAACAAAACTTTTGGAGGGTTACAGCTGTCAAAAAGTAGTAGGGATTGTAGAGAGCCCTGCATTTAATGACTTCAGCACATCTGTGGCCGCAGGATATCACTAGTTTCTCATACTTTGCTGGTGTGATCTTGGTCCACTCTTCTTCCAGTATCCGCCATAGTTCGGTAACTATAGTGGGTTTCTTAGCCGTAACTTTGTTGCCAAGGATTTTCCAGAGATTTTCAATCGGGTTTAAATCAGGACTCTGGGCTGGCCATTTCATTATTTCAATGTTTTCGGCTTCAAAGAACTGCTTTATCCATTTGCAGTGTGATGGGGCATTGTCTTTCATGAAAATTACAAGCTGATTGGGAGATGCTTGCAGGGAAGGAACTGCATGTTGCTGAAGGAGGTTCTGATAAACATTTTCATTCACCCTGCCATGTAGCTGTATAAGAGGCCCAACTCCTGCTGCACAAAACATCCCCCCAAAGCATGACACTTCTTCCTCCACCATTCACTGACCACTTTATGCACTTGGGGTTCAGTCTTTCCCCAGTTTGACATCTAACATAATGTTTCCCATCTGACCCAAATAAATTGAACTTGCTCTCATCACTAAAGTGAACTTTGGACCACTGCTCCTCTCTCCACACATCATGCTTCTCAGCAAAGGTGATGAGAGTCTTGGTCACTGCAGAGTGTGTTTTCAGATTTCTCTTAAACGTGGTGAGACAGATCCATACCCTGTTCATTGCTGAAACAATTCCCCATCAAGAGTCTCCGCATCATCCTGTCTTCTCGTGCATTTGTCTTACGTGGACGACCGACCTTTTTTGTTGGACTTGAATGAATTAGTGTCATTGTAAAGTTGCAATTTTCTAGAAATCACAGATCTGAAATGACCAGCTTCAAATAGGACTAAGCAGTGATCTTGAAATTGTAGGTTGTTCCCTAATTTTGATCTCCACTGTATGTGTGTGTGTGTTTATATATATATATATATATATATATATATATATATATATATATATATATATATATATATATATGATTTTTCCAAAAACAATAAAACAATCTGTAGTGTCTTTCTTTAAAACTTGATAGAAGGTGGCTTTAATTACATTCATGGTGGCTTTACACATGGGAATTGACATAAGTAAAGTTGTGTTAGTTTGTGCGTTTACTCACACGTGTAGCGGAGGTACTGGCGAGGGTTCATAAATGTACCGGCCTTGTGTGTGTCTATCATCGATTGGTACCGGAGATATATATGATTTTTCCAAAAACAATGGCTTTACCTGTAGTGTCTTTCTTTAAAACTTGATAGAAGGTGGCTTTAATTACATTCATGGTGGCTTTACACATGGGAATTGACATAAGTAAAGTTGTGTTAGTTTGTGCGTTTACTCACACGTGTAGCGGAGGTACTGGCGAGGGTTCATAAATGTACCGGCCTTGTGTGTGTCTATCATCGATTGGTACCGGAGGATGAAAAGCAGGAAAGAACTGAGGTGTCGCTGTAAAATGAAAAAAGGAGAGTTTTTAAAAATGAATTGCGATTAAATGTTTAAACATAAATACCATGGTAGACAGTAAATTGTTTAGTAAGTGTGGATTCACAGAATTTATTGCAAACAAACAAAAAGGTATTTAAGTACACTCAGTCAAACACAAATCAGTGTGCAGGACTGTCGAAAACACACAGTTGCTTCAAGGCTAATCAGCAAAAATGTCTTCTGTGTCCTGTATACTACCTGTGTCCTGTGTCCTACATGTGTTTGTGTTCACATACTGTATGCCGTGTTGGATTGTGTGCTCTGCTGCATTTCAAAAGCTTCAAAAAATTATTAATCACAACCATTAGAGAGAAGGTGGGAGGAATCTACAGATAACACATTAAAATAATAGGATAAAAAAACAAGTCTATATTTTGACCTGATAGAGGAGGTATAAACAAGTATAATCAAGTATTAAACATCAGCATAAAACATCTTTCAAAGCAACTCAACATTTGAGTTTTGAAAATTGGCCTCTAGGCAGTTCAAAAATAGATTACCAAATTTAATCTAAAACTAACATGACAAAAAAAGTTGTAACTATATTTTCATTTCTGAAGCGAAGCAAATTTTAAAAGTTCATTAAAATAAAAATATCTGTTGGGGGGGTGGATGGATGATTGGTAGGTTAGGACTATTCCAAGAGCCCTGATCAGAGAGGTGTGAGTCGTACTTCATTCATACATTGCTACACTATAAACATTGTTTGCTCACAAAATGTAGCTAAAAGTTTGCTAATATGACCACAGGTTTGGAGAGAATGAACATTTTTCACATCTTTTAAATATATAGTGTTGGAATCAGATTGTAATACTATGGTAATCTGATCAATCGAAACTGGTATTACCATGATACTTTTTGTTACTGAAATGGAGAGCAAATAAAGTGAAACCTAGAAACAGTAATTAAGAATTTCAGTGGGCTCTGGCACTGTAACAAGGCAGGGTACAGCAACGGACGTGTTTTTTAGCTTGTAAACATCTGGCAACTGTGTGCCACAGTGGTTAAGGGCTGTGCCCAGGGACCAATGCCCAACATTCTGGGTCCAATGCTATACAATACAAGCTGCCAAATGCAGTGGGCTCCACACATTTGTAAAGCCCTCCTTTACCCCATTCCTCACCTTACATTAAGCAGTGTTAGCGTTAGTGTTCCATGTGACAGCACTCAGAAAGCTAATTGGTGTAAACTGCAAGTACCGCAGCTGAAGGCTTTCTGAGGGCTTGTCCTTGAACTGAAAGAACATAGAAAGAACTCAAACAGTGATGCATTAGAAAGCTGAATTCATGACCAACTGCATGCTGGGAAATATATATAAACAGAAATTAGAAATATCAGTTAAATAATAAATTAGTTAAATAATAAATCAAATTAAAACCACACTACAGGACAATACAGTGATATCTTCCAAAGAGACCAGATTTCTGCATGAAAAATTGATGTTACATTGACACAACATTACTAGTTGTTCAGATGTATTTTTGTATTTTTGAGTATTTTTGTATGTATTTTAGTCTAATTAAAACTCTTATTATTATTTTCTATCCCCATCTCTCTCTCTCTTTGCTCTTCCTTTATCACTCCACACAAAATATTTACTCTCTATACACTGTACAGCACTGCTGTAAACCTCCCATTTTCTCTCGCATTGCTATCTTTCAGCACTTGTTTATTCCCCTCCGTTCCTGTTCCATCACTCATAATATTCTGTTCATCTTTCATGTCAACACTTGTCTCTCCCTTACTCCTCAAAAGTTTCATGCTCCCAAATTCAGCTTCCGCCACTCCATCACGGCACGAGTCGCTCATTCCAGAGACGCTCTGCACTCTGTCAGTCCTCCTCTCCCTCGTACCTCTATGCTCCTTCATCAACCGTCGCTTCCTGGCCTGTATCAAGTCCACCATCTTTCCACACCAGTTCTTTCACTTTTTGTCTGGTTCCTTTTATTAGGTGGGTCTTTGCTATTCACTACCTTTCGGCCTCACACATGTGAGTGATACTTATTACGGGCACTTTTAGCTACATGAAATACTGAAAAATCAAACAAATATGTTTTGTCCATGGTAAAGGTCTAAAAATAAAGATCTGGTCATGATTTGATCTTCATGCGGATATTTTATATTGTGTATGGTTGCTAATAAAACAAGCTAACTAGCAGTAAAGTAGTTTGAAATTGTTTTCTAAAATGCTTGGTATAATGGTAATGACAAACGTATAGGTAAAACAACTATTTTAAAATTATATATATTTTTAATTATTAAAAATATATATACATAATCTTAAGTTCTTCATAATTTTCTTTTTAAAATAGTTGTAATTTGAAGAAACTTTTAATAATGTTCTTTTTGTTTAGCAAAATTGTCTGGGTAAGGGACAAGTAAAATAAACAATATAACACTTTAATAGAAATTCTTAATTTCTTAGTAATTTCCTTTTTAAAATGCTTTAAATGCATTTCTTTTTTTTTAATAAAACAAAAATAAATAAAGATAATAACGTTAAAATGTTCTCAACAAAAAATTACATACATGAAGTAAAACCGTAAGGCTAATAAGATCCTAAAACTATAATAACACTTTTCCCTGTAAAATCATTTAAGAGGAACAGGAAAGCATCAAACTGAAGAATCACCCATATCTGACCCCATTCATTAACTTTTTCCTACTCTTTCCCCAAATCCATTTAAAGGGGTCATATGATGCTATTTTAAAGATCATTATTTGGTGTATTTGGTGTAACAGAATATGTTGACATGCTTTCAAAAAACACATTATTTTTCAAATACTGTACATTATTGTAGGTCCTCTATGTCCCGCCTCTCTCAAACATGTAATTTTCAACAAAGCCCCTCCTTTGACAAGCGCAGTCTGCTCTGATTGGCCAGCTGACCCAGTGCATTTTGATTGGCCGAATACCACAAGCACGCATCGGAAATGTACCATACTATAGTACCTTTACCATAATCGTGAGCTTCAGCTTTCAAAGTAAATATCAATACAGTTAATAATGTCGTTAGTTTTACCATCAGTTCAAGCCCGAAAGGGCAACAGAGTCGCGTGACAGACACAGTGATGATGCAGTACACAAGCCGCGGTTAAGACAGCTGATGTGCTATGATTTCTGACAGGCAGTTCACTCTCCTGGGATGTGACCCTCTTCCCCTGACACACACACACACACACGCCGCGTTACTCTGCGCTGCGCAAAACTCCACATTTGAACAGTCAATAGCAAATACTAACTCCTCTCTCTTTCCTTCTCTCTTTCTCCGTTCTCTGTCTTTCTCCATGAATAACAGATGTTTATTTGACTCTCACTCTCTTGTTTAAATTCAAAGGGACTGTATCTAATTAGACTCTGCCATTGTCAAAATTATTAAATTATTAAATTAGTCTTCTTTTTCCTGGCTACATTTCAAAAGAAATATCCAGGGCCATGAGAGAACAAAATCAAACATTTTACACAAAACAGAAAAGGGAATATATATATATATATATATATATATATATATATATATATATATATATATATATATATATATATATATATATATATATATGTATATATCTCCAGTAATCCATATTCCTCTCTTTTTCTTAAGAGAATTGTCACTGCTACACTTAGTAAAGACCGGATTTGTGCATTTGTGAAATTGTTTGTGAATAAAATGAAGGTGCATATCATAATAAAAATGATGATGTAGCACACTCTGTCCCTTTGAAAATTGCCCATTGTCTTATCATAATTCAGAACTGAAGTGGATTTAAAGCAAACTTCTGCAACACATCCTGCAATCACTGAAAATGTGAACTAAGTAGCTCTCTTTCCTGAATTTACTGGTTTAGTTTAAACTATTTCAAAAGCATGCTGTAAATTTTAGTCTACCATTTCCAACACCCTTCCTTTAGAACTACCACTTTTTGTAGACATGCATAATTCAGAGGGCATTTTTTTGCTGTCATTATTTCACGCTGCATTCATTAAGACGCGATTATAAAGGGTTTTAATGAAAGAGATGATTAAAGGCAAACTTTGACCAGACTCATTAGTTTCTGATGGAACACAAACACTCATTGAACAGAAAAGAGAGTGTGACAATTACAGCTTATTATTTTAGGACGATGATACGGCCTGAAGCATTTACTAAAATCACTCCCATAATCATTTTATAAAGACTTTCTTTTTCTTTCCTTCTCTCATCCTCTCTCTTAAAGTTTCATTACACATGCTCTTTGGAGGATTGGAGTAATGTTATGTTAACTCCCTGATCAAGAGGTAATTGTATTGTGACCAACAGATCAGATTGTGAAAACAATAACTGCTTCTGTTCTTCTGCCACTTAAAAAGTCATAAGTGAAGCCAAGAAGAAAAAACTTTCACTGATTAAGAGTATAACATCATTGACCATCCTCCAAACATCTCTCGGTCAATAACATTCCTTCCAAACACACACACACACACACACACACACACACATTCAAAATGCAATTTATACATATACTTGAATACAACACGAGTACGATTTTAATTAATTTATGTATTAATATATATATATA